AATATGTAAGTTCGTCCTCAAAGCTGAGTATCTGTTAGCTGGATCCCAGGTAGAAAAGGTGAAGAAAGAGACAGGGCCTGGCCAAAACGGTGTTTAAAAGCATTTTCAAACACCACCCACACACACACCCTTGACCCACCCGGTGTAGTTCTCCATCCAATGAGCAAATGTCCATAACTCATAAGGGGCTGTCCTAGAACTACCTCAGCCATCCTCCTGGAAGTAGGTCATCTCCACCCGGGGGCACAGCTGTATTGTCAACAACGCTCGGATCCTATCACTTCTGACTAGAAGCCATGTAATCTATCCTTTTATTATGCATGGCACCGGGGAGTCTGGGTTGAGACTCTCTTATCTCCATGCCCCACCACTAGGGGGTATGTGTGAATTCCTAGAAGGAGGATTTTGGTATGCAACCTTCTGTTATACATCCTGTCCTAAATACTTGCATTTCTTCACACGCCAAGACAGGGGCGGACTGACAACTCCTATCAATAGTGTAATAAAAATACAGATATATATACAAATACACAGAAATGCTGTGGAGAGAAGAATGTATACTGTAAGGGGGAGAATTACTAAAACTGGAGAGTGCAAAATCTGCTGCAGCTCTGCATAGAAACCAATCAGCTTCCAGGTTTTATTGTCAAAGCCTAACTGAACAAACTGAAGTTAGAAGCTAATTGGTTACCATGCACAGCTGTATCAGATTCTGATGCTCCAGATTTAGCAAATCTCTCCCTAAGCCCTGGTTCACACTAGATGCGACTTGGCATGCAATTTGCATGCCCTGCGACTTGCAAATTGCATGCCAAGTTGCACCTATTGTCTGCAATTGGAGCGGTCATATTGGTGCAGTTCTGACTTGGTCAGAGCAGCACCGATTTCAAAAGTAGTACATGCATTACTTTTGGTGCGATTTGCATAGACATCTGTATCAGATGTCTTGCAAATAGCACCTGAAGTCAGCGGGTCCCCCAACTTTGAAATCGTGCGACTTCACTGTAAGTCGCACGATTTCAGAGTCAGGCTTGATGTGAACGGAGGGTAAGGGCCAGTTCACCCTACATGCATTTCAGTTGCTTTTTTTCTGCATCCAATATGCACAGAAGGTAGGTGATATGGTTGTCAGTGTCATAGTTCATATCCGTGCTTGCAGTGCCAGTGTGTTCTAGTTGCAGAAAAAATTGTAGAATCGGCTGCATTTTTTCTGCACAGAACTGTACTGGAATGCAGTAAAATGCATAAAAAACGCACTGGAACGCACCAAAAATGCACTGGAATGCACATGTCCCAATTTAAATTGAAGAAAACAAGAGGGGAAAAATTAACTGGAATGCATAAAAAATGCACTGGAACATGTCAAAAACACAGCAAAAACACACTGGAACGCACCAAATATGAGTAAAAAAGCGCTCATGCAAAAATGCATCCATAATGCATCTGGACTGTGTTTCTATAGTGTGAACTGGTCTTAAAGGATCCGTAGACCTAAGGCTAGGTTTACACTTATGCAAGTTGCATTTGAGCCATTTCTGCATTGTGGCTTGCTTTTCGTTTTGGCACTTGCATATTTGATGCGTTTTGACACTTTTTTTATGTGTTTTGCATTTTTCTTTTTCATTTTTTACATTTTTCTGGTTGCTAGACAGATTTAAAATGCAAAATGCTGCAAAAATGCAGCAAAAATGCAATACATGCTTTTCTGCAGCATTTTCATTGAAGGCTATAGAATCAAAAATGCAACTTTTTGCGTTAAAAAAAGTCCCTGACCTTTTCCAAAAAATGCACCAGGTGAAAACGCTCAGATGTGAACATGTCCCTTAGGAAATCATGTTAAAAGGACTATACTGTGTGTCTGCAATATGCTGCAGAAAATGCTTAGATGTGAACAGGGCTGTATTTACTACAAGGCAAACAAGGCATTTGCCTAGGGTGGCATTTTTCAGGGGGGCAGCATGCTCCCCGGAAGAAGGGACAGAAGAAGGGAAACATGCAGCATGGGAACTAGGTGGGATCCAAGAGAGGCTGCGGGCTGCTTGACGGTGTGTGCAGAGCCCGACTCTCATTCCAGGGGGTGTCTGGAGCTGTAAAAGTGAGTGTCTTTCTCTCGCTGGTGGTGGTAGTGGAAGGTGATTTTTGTGTTGCCTAGGGCAGCACAAAACCTAAATACACCACTGGGTGTGAACCTAGGGTAAATGAGGTTTTGTTGATTATAAAAAAAAAAATGCAACTGTGTAATAAGAATAGACATATATGAATACAAATAATAGTTGCTGAGAGAAGTAGCAAGTTTAAATGCCCATTTTAATATATGATTAGTATTCCCAAGTTAGGTGTATTTATTTATAGAGAAAAATGCAACTGTGTAAAAAAAAATACAAAAATATACAAATAAACAAAAAAGCTGCTTTTAGAAACAATAATGCACATTGTAAATGCCTATTGTAGTAAAAAAGCGGTCTCCAAACTGTGGCCCGGGAGCTAGATGTGGCCCTTTGCTTGCCTTTATCCGGCCCTTGGGGCACACTTCCTCCCACTGACACCAACATCGGGGTATAATTCCTGTCACTAATATCAACAGTTGGGCACTATTCCTACTACTGTCCCCATCAATGGGTCACTATACTTTCCACTCACACCAATGATGGGGCATTTTCCTACCATTTACACCAATGATTGGGAACTATTCCTCCCACTGACACAGATGATTGGGCACTATTCCTTACACTGATACCAATGATGGGGCACTGTTCCTCTCAGTGACACCAATGATGGGGTACTATTCCGCCCACTAATACCAGTGATAGAGCACTATTCCTCACACTGATACCAATGATGGGGCACTATTCCTCACACTGATACCAATGATGGGGCACTATTCCTCCCACTGACCCATCAGTGGGGCACAATACTTCCCACTGACACCAAGGATGGGGCATTTTCCTACCATTTACACCAATGATTGGGAACTATTCTTCCCACTGACACCAATGATGGGGCACTGGTCCTCTCACTGACACCAATGATTGGGCACTATTCCTCACACTGATACCAATGATGGGGCACTATTCCTCCTGCTGATACCAATGATGGGGCACTATTCCTCCCACTGACACCAATGATTGGGCACTATTCCTCCCACTAATACCAATGATTGGGCACTATTCCTCCCACTGACACCAATGACTGGGCACTATTCCTCCCACTGATACCAATGATGGGGCACTATTCCTCTCACTGACACAGATGATTGGGCACTACTCCTCCCACTGACACCAATGATGGGGCACTATTCCTCCCACTAATACCAATGATTGGGCACTATTGCTCCCACTGATACCAATGATTGGGCACTATTCCTTCCCCTGATACTGACAATGGGGCACTATTGCTCCCACTGATACCAATGATGGGACACTATTCATCCTACTGACACCAATGATTGGGCACTATTCCTCCCACTGACACCAATGATTGGGCACTATTCCTCACACTGATACCAATGATGGGACACTATTCCTTCCCCTGATACTGACAATGGGGCACTATTCCTCCCACTGACACCAATGATGGGGCACTATTGCTCCCACTGATACCAATGATCGGGGCACTATTCCTTCCCCTGATACTGACGATGGGGCACTATTCCTCCTACTGACACCAATGATGGGGCACTATTGCTCCCACTGATACCAATGATCGGGGCACTATTCCTTCCCCTGATACTGACGATGGGGCACTATTCCTCCCACTGATACCAATGATCGGGCACTATTCCTCCCCTGATACTGACAATGGGGCACTATTCCTCCCACTGATACCAATGATGGGGCTTTGTTTGCTGCAGTAACACCAGGCCATTTTCTACTCCCATTGGCCACAGGCTGGCCCCCACAAAGTCTGAAGGACAGTAAACTGGCCCTTTGTTAGGAAAGTTTGGAGACCCCTGTAGTAAAGGATCAGTAGTCCCAAATTAGGTATTGCTACTTGTAGAAAAAATGTAACAATGTGAGAAAAAATACAGCTGTTTACAAATACAAATAAATGTTGCTAAAAAAAAGTAGCAATGTACATTGTAAATTCCCATAGTAGTACGTGATCTGTGTTTGCATTCATGTTATTTGTAGGGAACAAATGCAAGAGAGAAGACATGAAGTTATTGAAGTATACAAAGGCAATGCTGATGGAAGTCTCAGTGAAAATGTAAATTACAATCTATGGCATTGAACGATCTAACTTCACAAGTTGCTTGTTCTTTGTACAAACCGAAATGTAACTCATACAAGACAAAAAAAAATACAGAAATCAATGCTGCTAATGTTAGTTTCAGTAGCTAAACAGTTGGGAGGTGCAGGCAAGCAGACAGCTGGAATCTGACCATGATTTCCCTCTCTACCTCCAGAAACAAGAGGAATGGATTACACTGATCACAGGGGAAATGCAGCTCCAGTCCATTTACACAGCGCACATTAGGCTAGGCAATTGCACAAATGCTGTCAGGGGTGGCATGACGCCAGCCAGTGACTTGTCAAGGAGGATATATCTCAGCCCCTTGAAGAAAAAATAAGGAGGAGGGAGATATAAATGTTGTCAGTCCTGGAGTCTCTCCTCTATGCCTTGCTGTGAGCCTTTGCTGAAGACAAGAAAAGGGGAGAGCAGTGATCTCTTTACTACATCTGGACTAGATCAGCATTGAGCTACTAAGCAGAACTATGGGCTTCTCTAAACTATCTCCAGGGCAGGAATTAAGTTTGGGGAATGGCAGCACGTTGGTTAATGCCACCAGCGAGAGCCCATTTCTCTTCCTTTCCATCTCTCCAAATGGGAGCAGCATTCTCAAGTCTCTGAATACTTCAGATCTCCTGAACAGGGATGAAGAGCTGGCTAAAGTAGAGATAGCAGTGCTTGCTGTAATCTTTGTGGCTGCTGTTCTGGGCAATTGCAGTGTCCTGTTAGGGCTTTACAAGTCCAAGAAGAAAATGTCTAGGATGCACCTGTTCATAAAGCACTTAAGCCTGGCTGATCTGGTGGTGGCTTTTTTCCAGGTGCTCCCACAGCTTTGTTGGGAGATCACTTACCGCTTCTATGGTCCAGACTTTTTGTGCCGGATAATAAAGCATCTCCAAGTGTTTGGGATGTTTGCTTCAGCCTACATGCTTGTTGTAATGACTGCTGATCGCTATATAGCTATTTGCCATCCTTTGAAGACTCTCCACCAGCCTACCAAGAGGTCCTACCTGATGATCGGAAGCGCTTGGATCATCAGCTTCATCCTTAGCACACCTCAGTATGGGATCTTCTACCTGAAAGACCTAGGGGACGGGGTGTATGACTGCTGGGCTGAATTCATCAGCCCCAAAGGACTAAAGGCTTATATCACATGGATTACTATTAGTATCTTCGTAGTGCCGGTGATCATCTTGCTGACCTGCTATGGTTTTATTTGCTACAATATCTGGAGGAACATCAAGTGCAAAACCAAGAGAGATGAGTCCGATCGCAAGAGGAGCAACGGGTTACTCTCCACATCTGTTAGCAGCGTGAGGACCATTTCCAGAGCTAAGATCAGGACAGTGAAGATGACTTTTGTGATTGTTACAGCCTATATCATCTGCTGGACCCCATACTTTACCATCCAGATGTGGTCAGTGTATGCAGATAACACCAACTGGACAGGTAAGTAGGAGTTCTATTCCTAGAGATTGATTGAGACTTGGCTACTGTAATTTGATCAATAAAACACGTTTTTCCCTTAGTTTAACAATGACAACCTAAAAGTGAAAAGAAAGCATCATTAGAACATTATGTTCCAGCAAGCAACTTGAGGTTCCAGCAACTTGGCTTCTGATTCTTCTGATCAGCAAAACATGCTTGTTTTTTTTAAACAGAAAGTGTGATAATTTAAAACTGAAGGGCAAAGATATGAAGAACAATAATTTCCAGCATGTCCAATTTAGCCTTTGCTGGTTGTAGCAGGTTACATTTCTTAAAGGTTAATAACCTCTTCACTGAACTTGGTTGTGACAGAAGGCATCTGCAATGTCTCATTAAGAAAGTCCAAACAATACAGCATGTTGTAAGCACATAGTATTGTTATTGGCAAGATTACAGTCAGTTTGCTCCTCCTCAGATAGATGAGTTCAGTATGTCTGGCAATGTAAACCGTGAATTATTTTAGTATTCTAACCATTATCAACATTTTCTACTGTTCACATTTATTTCAGACAATTTCCTACACACAGTATGTACAAAAGTCAAATTGTTTTAGGTAGTAATGTCTTATAGAATTTGAAGAAAAGCATGTTTTGATCAGATTCAAATACAAATAATTTTGTGAAGAACAGATGCAAAGAATTTTGTGAATGAAGTGTTCATTTCTAAGAGTCGTATAACACACAACATGCAGTCGTCTTCTGCAAACTTCTTTTACATGTCTGCCACAATAAAAAAGATAAGGACCAAGAACTTGCTTGAAAGGGCTTATTGCTGCTTTACTGTTTGCTCCATATTAAAGTGAAACAGCCCCCCCCCCAAAACTTTTTAAAAAGTTGGGGGAAGATTGAGGAAGCATTAGAACCTTTTACAGATTCCTTACCATCTACATCCCACTGGGGATATTTCTTCTCATTTCCTGTCTCGGTGACCACAAAGAGAATTAAAAGAAATCTCCCCAATGGGGTTGCAGGCAGGAATGAAAGGTTGAGTTTCCATCTCTTCTCCACTGCTAAAAATCTAAGCTCTTATAAATCTGCACACAATAAAGCCCAACCCTGTGGAAAGTAAAAGTGATCCCTTGACTGCCACCACAATGCAGAGGTTAAATGTCCATTTAGGTCTAAGGGATGGGAAAAGCAGTTTTACTTACCCAGTCCTCTGCTTCTCAGCAGACAACATTCCCCTATGCTCCAATGATGGATTGTTCCTCAAAATCCTCATACCCAAGGCACAGTTATGGGCTTCCTTTTGGTTTTGACTATGTAATGGGCATCTGGCTACCAGAGCATAGGGAAGAAGATATTGCAGGCAATGGTCTTCTAGTATTGAGAGGTTTGCTGGAGCAGAGGATCAGGTAAATAAACCTGATTTTCGGGTCCCCCTAGATGTAAACAAGCATTTAATCCTTGCAGTGAGGGGGGCAGTCCCACTGCAAGGGAAGATTTTTCTTTCCACAGAGTTCAGCTTTACAAAGTTCAATTATATATTTTTTATAGCAAATGATTAATTTATTTTTTTGAATGAGCATAGAGCACAGCTATGTATCTAATTGATACATATTGGACACATTGTATCTACATGAAATTATTACTGGGTGCTAGTTTTCTATACTGCACTAGAATAAATTAAATGATAATTTAATCTTTAAAAAATAATAAATAAATGCACATTTTTTTTTTTTTTTTTTTGCAGCTAAAAATAAATGTTTTTTTTTTCTTAGAAGCCTTCAGAGCATTGCATTCACAGTCAGCAGATCGCTGGGGCAATGTCAGGCTCTTGCAGACTCTTAGTACAGCTGTCTGCTCTTACCTCCCATATGGGCAGACTGTTACTGAAGAGCAGGAGGAATGAATTAACTATGAGAGTGCTCACCAGCAGCATCGCAGACCCATCTGTCATGGTGGAAGATGTAACTTGTAGTTCATTCGTTGACAGATACCTGTGGATCCCCTGCCCTCTGTCTCAATGGGAGATGGGGTGGGGGGGGGAGGCTGCTGCATTAGGTTCACACCTATGCAGCTGAGTTTTGTGCGTTTCTTCATTGCGTTTTGCGTTTTTGCATTTGCGCTTTCGCTGCATTTTGCTTTTTTTTTCTTGTTGCTAGGCAGATTTTAAATGCAAAACGCAGCAAAAATGCAGCAAAAAGGCAAAACATGCTTTTCTGCAGAGTTCCCATTGAAGTCTATAGAACTACAAATGCAACGTTTTGTATTAAAAAAAAGTCCCTGACCCTTTACAAAACATGCACCCAGTGAAAACACAGAGATGTGAACAGGGGCGGACTGACAACTCATGGGGCCCCCGGGCAATAGGGGATTATGAGGCCCCTGTGTCATCGCCCACATCCAAAAAAGCCTATGAAAAAGCCAATGAAAGGTACCAGGGGCATCTCATGGGGCCCCCTACTGACCCTGGGCCCTCGGGCAGTGCCCGAGTGCTCGAATGGTCAGTCCGCCCCTGGATGTGAACCTGTCCAATAGGAAATCATGTTAAATGGACTACTGCGTTTCTGCAAAACACTGCAAAAAATGCATAGGTGTGAGCCTAGGGTAAGTAACAGGCTACTAATAAATGAGACCCAGTCTGTTAAATAAAGTAATATTATCATTCATGCACTTATTTTATTGTCTCTTGTTTATATTTAGCATTATGCACGTCAAAATAAATGTAACTCATATAAAATAACACAAGGACAATAATGTTACATCATAATGTAATGAAGTGCAATTTCACTCCATTAAAATCCCCTATTTTACTATATTTCTCATCACTCCATTAAAAGTTCCCCAAACCATCACGTCATGCATGACGCTGCTTACCCCGAGACTGTTTGTGACCCACTAAGGTTCTACCAGAGTACCTAGCAGCACAATGTCAGATGTGCAGTGGCTGAGTTAGACCCCTAACCCACACATCCTACATGGCACCGCAACATAAACCGTAGCATGCAGAGCATTACCGAATGAACAAAAGCAATTCAAATAAGCAGTGATGGAGGGAAGGAAGGAGGGCTGAGGGAGGGGAAACAATCCTGAAGCTGCATTGAAAGGCCAAAGACACACAAGGGAGATTAGGGAGAAGGGGAAATCTTAAGACGTCCTCTTCCTCCTTAAAGTCCATCAAGTTATAGTCTCTGAGCAGACTGTGTGGACCAGTCTGTGACAGTCCTCAATGGACATCCTCTCCCGCTGGTGGATGATGCACTTCCTGGCTCACCATAAAGTGTCCTTGAAACAACACAGCACCCACCAGGCCCTGTCAATGTCCTCCAGGGTAAAAGTCCCACAGAAAAGTCCATTCAACATGCCAATGTGTGTGATGACTGCCTGTGGCACTTCTGTCTGGCAGTACTAGGGTCCTTGGTTCGAATCCCAACCACGGCACCACCGGTTGGAGTTTGCATGTTCTCCCTGTGCTTGCGTGGGTTTCCTCCCACACTCCAAAGACATGTTGGTAGGTTACTTGGATCCTGTCTAAATTGGCCCTAGTATGTGTATGTATGAATGTAAGTTAGGGACCTTAGATTGTATGACTCTTGAGGGTTAGGGACTGATGTGAATGTACAATATATATATATGTAAAGTGCTGTGTAAATTGACAGCACTATACAAGTACCTGAAATAAATGCTGAAGCAGTGGGAAAGCTGTAGTTTTGTAGCACTTTATTTGAATTTCAGGTCCCATATAAGAAAGCTGTAGTCGGAATGGTGTTCAGGACACTTGTGTTTGCTGGTCTATGTCCGATGATTATTCAGCATAGAAATGTCCAGTCTATATTTTTTAATTTGCATATTGAAAACATGATGCATGTTCATGTGGTCCTTCCTTGGAGATAGTTTCCTTCTTTCCTTCTAGCTCAGATATTTAACATCTCTGTTCCTTTGTTAGGCAAAAGAGCATCCAAACAAGTGTGTTTCATAGTCACAATTCTGCCAATGTTTGGACTGCTAACCACCTTTCCCATTGTTAGAAAAGCCATTGAAAAAAAGACAGCCATGGTTTAAGTGCTGCAAATAGTGTTAGACAGGCCATAGATTATATGATTTTCTTTCCTGCAACCAACTAACTGTGTTGATGGAGGAATCCCTCAAGCAGAGCTATTATGTTCTCCAGGCAGGGAGCCAACCCTGCTGGGAGAACCCAATGAGGGGCTATAGTGGCTGGCAGTAATAGCTTGCTAACAATCTGACATACTGATTGTACCCATGTCAATTGATGCATCGACTTGGGTATAATCAGCCTGCCCATAGATGAATTAAATCTCAGCCAGTCCCTGCTGAACCAGCCAAAATTCGATCCATCTATGGCTGGTTTTATTCTACCATTCCATAATGCCCACCCTAAAGCACTAAAATGTGATATGACCCATACAACTCACAGTGTTAGACCTATAGTTTTTAGAATGCTGGAAAGGTCAGAACCACCTGGCAAGCATACAAAAAAATGTAAAAAAAAGTTGTAATGTAAACAAGGGTCAAGTAATGCGTATAGATAACCTAGATAATAGCATGAATATCAATGATGGAAGAAGCGGTTTAAGTGGAAATATTGTGGTAGAATTTTACTTTAATTTTTTTTTTTTTTTTAGAAAATGAAAACACTGTAGTCACCGTATCTGCTTTGTTAGCAAGTCTGAACAGCTGTTGCAATCCCTGGATATACATGTTTTTCAGTGGACACCTACTGCAAGATTTCATCTTCAGTGTTCTATGCTGCAGCAGGTTCAAGCAAAACATTAGCAAGGAAGATTCTGACAGCAGTACAAGGAGACAGACATCCTTCACCAGGATCCAAACAAGAAGTCCAACCCACAGTACTGACACCTGGAAAGATTCTCCCAAATCATCCAGATCTATTAAATTCCTGCCCCTGCAAACCTGAAATGGCTGCTGCCTTCAATGTACAGTTAGCCTCAAAGCTTTTGACTCAATGCACTTTAAATGCATACCTTGTAAATATGCAGCACATGGTGAACAACATTAATATTAACAAGAAAATGTCTATTTTAAGTATTATTAAGTATAATGTATTGTGGCTAAAATGATGTGTGCACACCTCAAATAGGCATGCTTTGTGTTCAGCAGCTTTTCATTCAAAAACCAAACCCCAGCTACCTTTCAATGTTATTACACTGTATATAAATAATGATGTGAGAAGTAAGATTACTTGGAATGAACCAAAAACAAAGTCTTTTATATTGCATATACTAATCCATGGCAGATCAGAGCAAAAACAGGTTTAATTATTCACACTTTAACATAGCTTTGTATTACAATCACATTAAAACTGAATGTAAAAAAAATCCCTTTCGGTTTATAGTATTAACATGCAAAAGTTATTGGTGTAATTAATTGATCCATATTAAGTGAATTCTCTGATTATGTCAATTCTGAAGATCCTGTGACTGTGCAGAGAGACCATACTCTCTGGTTGAAGCTTTCCCCTCACTGCATCTGTGACTGAGACTTTAAACACATGGAATTGCTTTGACCAAGTATCAAAGCAAGCCAGCCACAAACTTGGCCATGTCCAACTGATCATATGATGAAAAGTACATACGCAGAAGTTACTATCAGTAAATCCAGCATGTCATTACAGTTGGTACATCTAGAGTTCATCAAAGGGCAACAAAATTATTAAAGGGACTTGAGGACTTAACCACTTCCAGTCCAGACACTTTTACCCCCTTCCTGACCAGGCCAATTTTCAGCTTTCAGTGCTATCACACTTTGAATGACAATTCCACGGTCAGGCAACACTGTACTAATATTGATTTTTTAGCATTTTTTGGAGACAGATAAAGCTTTATTTTGGTGGTATTTATTCACCACTGGGATTTTTATTTTTTTTGCTATGTAAATTAAAAAGTCCAAAAATTTTGAAAAAAAGTATTTTTCTTATAAAACTTTGCAAATAAATAATATTTCATCATAAATCTTGGCCAAAATGTATTCCATTATCTTTTAGTAAAAAAAAAATAACCCAAATTAGTTTATAACCCAAAATTAAAATTTTTAAACATTTTTTTAATTTTTTTAAAAAAATTTATATTATTTTTTATTTTTTTTTTACATACTGTCACCCTAACAGTACAGTGTCACCATGGTGACACTGTACTACTTGTGGGGGACGATGATTTTTTTTTTTTTTTACACTGATTGCTTTTACACCCATAAAGGATGTAAAAGCAATCATTTCTCCTTATCTCTAGCTGCATTCTTGCAGCCATTGAGAACTACTGAGTGAGCTGTGATTGGTCACTGCTTGTCACATGTTACAAGACTGTTGTGACTAGCCTTGTACCGAGTGACCTGTGTGATCATTCACAGATTTCACACGTGGTAAGCAATGTTATCAGAAGTGACATCTTGCTTACTACTCTGCATGTGATCACTGATTGGCCAATCAGTGATCACATGATTGGGACCTCGTACAGAGGTCCCATCCGACGATCTGTCTGGAGGACACAGCGGGCACCGGATCGTGATGCTGCGCACTCCCTGGGAGAGCGCACAAGCAGGGTACAGGGAGGCTGTTTATAAATGGCCACCCGACCCTGCACTGCCACTGTCCGGCCATTTATATACAATGGCCGGGCGGGGACATGGTTAAATAGGCTCTAAAAGTAATACAGTTTTCATCTTAATCCATTCCCTGCATTAAGGTAAAAAATGTCCCAGCTGTTGTATCATCGCACACACACACCTCCCATACTCACCTGAGCCCTTTTTTCAGCCAGCACTGTGCCCACCTGCTCTCCTCTCTCTGTCCTCACAGACACAGGGTCAGCAGTGGGAGCCATTGGTTCCTGCTGCTGTCAATCTAATCCTGTAAAGAGGGAGCAAAGGGCTGGGCTGAGTCATGCTATGTGTGTTTATGGAGGCAGATAACCTGGCTTGGGAGTGTGCCTGCAGGTGCATCCCCATCATAAGTGGCTTTCTTTGGTGGCACACAGAAAAGCGTAGGAGCCAAGATCATTGGTGGGGTACCCCAGAAGAGCCGGTTTGGAGCCACCAATGCACAGAGCTGGTAAGCATAACATATTTGTTATTTAAAAATGATTGTTTACAACCAATTTCAGCTATGAGAAACAATTACATAGATGAAATAGATACCAAAGGCAAATAAAAAATTATAAAATAAAGAGATTAAACTTTCAAGTTCTGTGCAGCAGTATTGCATACAATGGTTGCTTTTCTCGTCTTCTGGTAGTAACTGTTTGCACTGTTGGTTTCTCCTTCCTTCGGGTGCCTCATGTAGCAAACTGGGTGCTAAGGGAGCACCTGTGCATGTACAATCTGCTTGGGTCATGAGATGGGCTGTGTGCTTCCATAGACACACACAGCATTCGTAAGCTCACTCCCTTCTCACAGGAGTTTGACTAACAGCAACAAGAGCCTGTGGTTTTGCTGTCCTTAGTTTTTTCTGTGAAAGACAGTGAGGGGAGCAGTGACCTGAATCCAGGAAAGTGTTTAGGGATGGGGGGGGGGGGGGGGGAACACACAGTGGTGTATTTTTTACCTTAATACAAAAAATGCATAAAATTGTATACTTTATTACCACTTTAAACATATTTAATCTGGAGAAGATCTTAAGAGAAGACATGCTTGTTAAAGCAGTGAAAATGTGGAAGTCCCTTCCCTAGGTAATGGTTCTAGCCAGAAACTTTTTTTAGACAGGTATAAAGGATTGTTAAAGAAATCTCTCATACGCACACACGCACACACGCACACACGCACACACGCACACACACACGTTGGACTGGATGGACCTGTGTAAAATATAGGCAGCTGAATTATACATCTCTCCTGAAAAGTTTAGCTTAACCCTGCTCCTCTGACTTTTTGAGCCTCTTGATTGCTTAGGAAATTTTACCACCACTAAACCAACCTAAATATTTCAATATTTAAATATATCAGTACAGGTATAAGAGGAAATAAAACAGAACTCCCTGAATAGTGCAGGTAAAAAAAACAATTTAATAATAAAAATTTAAATTGCACTTACATAGAAGCAACTTGATCAGTGCATTTCACCAAAAATATCTCATTCCAGTGAACACCAACATCTGCCAACAGATGTAGAAAGTTCTTTAAAGCACCGGAAGTCGGCTATAGGAGAGGAGACCATCAGAATGAAAATGCTGGGGTGGATGCTGAAGAAGTAATTGAGCAGAACCAAATCTGTGTATGGGGTGATAAAATTCCTATACTTTGCTTACATGTGTCGGTGCTCATGTCCCTTCATCAGACTCTTATCCAGTAGAACAATGGTCTCCAAACTGTGGCCCTGGGGCTGAATTCGACCCTTTGGTTGCCTTTGCTTGGCTCTTGAGGTATTATTCCTGCTACTGACACCAACAATGGGTCACTATTCCTTCCATTGACATCAACAATGGGGCATAATTCCTTCCACTGACAACAAAAACGGGTCAATGACACCAACTATTTCTCCCCCTAATACCAGAGATCAGGCATTGTTTACTCCTACTGGGCACAGTCCAGACCTGCTAATGTCTGAAGGACAGCAAACTGGCCCTTTCTTTAGACGGTTCGGAGAAACCTGGGTAGAACATAAGAGAGGCAATATTTTATACATCATTTTATCAGCCAATAATAAAGCAATGTAAATATTTCTGTTTAAGCAGCATCTGTTCATGAACAGTCTGCTTTGAAGACATCTGCCACTAGCAATTTATATATGTACTGTGTTTTAATATTTGCATTTATTTGCAAGCTTGAGTGCAAATCCATTTAAACAATCAGGAACCTAGTATTTTAAGAGGGAGCTTAGCAAGGGAAACTATTTTTAGGCAGTAGGTCAAAAGAATGGTGACACCAAATATAATTGACATACTGTACCTAGCTTATCCCTTTCTCAAAGTCCCTTCTTTCTGTTTTAAGGCGTAGATACTGCATCTGTACATAAAGTTAAATAAATGTACACACAATTGTTTGATATTGAATTTCTCACATTCTACCCCTAGTAATTTATTTAAGGCTAACCACTAACTACTACTTATAAATCCCGGAATGAAGGATGGTGGTGTTGTGTATAGCAGCCAATCAGATATGCAGTAACTTCACTTTTCCCATTCTTAGCTCTATGGCTTAGTGGAATGCATATACTATCCATATTAAATTTCCATTGTTTGGATGGAAGAATATAGCCATGAATCAAACTTAGCTTTTTGTTACCTGAGGGAGGATGTAAAATGCCCCTAAATAAAATTAATTTTTTTTAAAATATTTCTCCTGCATTTTTTTTTGTTGAACACAATGACACCACCTGTCATAAATTGAAGGTAAGTCTCTGCCTGCTTTTATTCCTGGGCAGGTAGCCATGTTTTTTGTAGCTTACAGTTCTCTTTGAGGAACACACTACTACCTCTGTGTGAGGGTTATTGCAGAGTGTTGGGAAGAGTGACCAATGGAGTAATAGGGACCATACAGAGCAGTAATATTCACTGTACACCAAATTCAATATTAACTGTCTCCTATTTCTATTAAAAACCACCACCTGACACAGTGGGCTCAGCACTTTATGGCTAGGGTATCCATGAGGGTAGATTTCTTCTACCTGAATCCTGAAATTCATCTCTAACCTGCTGTGTAGTCATCCAATACCTACAAACTCATTCGTCTAATTGAAAGAATAGCATGAAAGAATAGCAACAAAGCAATAAGAGGATCCTATTTGTGAGCACGTTCCACTGTGATGCTACTGATCTGTTTTGTATGGTTGGACACCATGAATGTCCTGACTGCTGTAAATGAATTTTATCTCTTTCCAGAACCTGCCTTTAGAGGTTTGTAAATACATTGCTGATCCCCTATTTGTATTTGTATCCTCATGTATGCAGGTTGAAGAACAGAAAAACT